GATAGAGAGGACTGCGGTCCCGGGTTCAAAGGGTCCTTGAAACTTAATTTTATTTTTAGTTATAAATTTTATTTTTAATTACACTATCCAATACCATTTGCCTTAACATTCTATAAGTCTTTCCAGTAGATCTCTATATCGAAAAATGTAAATAACATAAAAGTATAAATATAAATAATGTAAAACGCTTATTTTAGCAACTTTGATTTTGAGGTTTTTTTTAAAAACTTAATATAATATGCTACTTTTACTGTCAAAAAAGTTTATCAGAAATTACTTGATAAAATTTAAGGAGCTCTATAAAGCTTGCAGGACCAAATCAGCGGAATCAAATCAGGCTTATCGGAATTTTTAGTACTCATTTGTACTAAATTGTACTATTGTAATGATAATTTTGTACCGTGTGCCATTTCAAAGAAAATTGTGGCGGTGCTAGTTTAATATTAAGCTAGCAGGACCAATTAAAAATAAAAGAAAAATAATATTAAAAATCAATAGGATTGAATTTGTACTGCCAAAACAATTCTATATTATGTATCATTTCCAAGAAAACAGGCGCTGTTAAGGTAGCTCCGTCATGATTTTTTTCGAAATGGCGCACGGTACAAAATTATCATTACTAGTACAATTTAGTACAAAATAAGTATTAAAAATTCCAATAAGTCCTATTTGATTCTGCCGATTTGGTCTTGCTAGTTTTATAGACCTAATTTAAGGCAAACTAAGATCTTATTTGGTCGATTAATGTCATCATTTAAAATATAATTATTTGACTAATTGCACAGTTTAACACTTTTTTGGGACCTGAATAAACAAAGTATTTTTCCATGGATTTTTGTTCGCTGAAAATGAATCCAGCTGTGGAATTGGCCTAACTTGTCAGGCTCCTGAAAAAAATTGAAATTAAATATGCAAAAATTGGCATTTTTGGTCATATGTATTTACCACTTTTTTTGCGGTTAAAGAAAATTTTTTTTTCAATGTCGTTTACGCCACTTTAAAGTATTATCTTTTATTTATAAAATAAATTTATACTTCTCTCTCTCTTACAGTACGATTTATATGCATAATCAGCATATAATAAATCATTAAGTTGAATAAACATTAAAATATGATTATTATCTACTATTTACAAATGTATAAAATGTGTAAGTATATGAACTATAATAATAAGAAATAAATAATTTCACGGGATTGTTAGGGTGTCAAAGTGCGTGATTACGTTCCTGTCCAGTAAAAAAATTTGGAAACATAACTACGTGAAATCTCTGACATTACGCATTGTAATATAATTGTATTGTGATAAATATAAATATATTTTATAGTTATAAGATAGCATTTTGGCACATTTAAACTTTAATTTTTTAGGAATCCTGATGTGTTAGGTTAATTCCGCGGCCGGATTTCTTTTTTCAGCGAATAAAAATCCATCGGAAAACACTTCGTTTATTCAGATCCCCCCAAAAAGGTCCATTTTTGTATAATTGTATTATTTGATAGTTAAATTAAAAATAAAATTCCGTATTTCCAAATTTGTATTACAGTTGCATTTTACGTTCCGCTCTATTTCTGATACTCTGTTACTGTAGTAAGCTAAGATTTGATGTTTAGATATATGTGCACAATTCCGTGCGGAGAACCGCTGTGTGCGTGCGCGTGTGTGTTTACATTTAACAGCCGCGAATTGACAATCGTCACGCACACGACTGGCAGCAATTGTCCGTGCGTAGCACGAAATGATGCATGAACATCCGGGCCTTACTTATTACGTACTAATTATTGTACCACATTAATATATTTTGAATATTTGGTGAGTTGTGTAAAGTATTTCAATCAATTTACTATTTAAAATTGAGTAGACCACTTAGTGGGGCCCAAAACGTTTTAAACAGAAAATTAAACAGAAAATTCGTCGCTTATTCGTGGTAGTTCGTGGTGTTATTTTTTTCTTTTATGTTTTGTAATTCACTTTCTGTATTATATCTTATTTAAAAGAAATATTGTGTATAGGTACATAATTGGATTTTTATATTTTACGATATTTAAACTGCCTAAGCCTAATTTAATTACTAAGGGAAATGTATTACAACTACTCTTTCCAATGACAGGGTCTTCAAAAGGTCATGTTCTCGGATATAAATTTTGAAGTTATGCCACTGTTAAAGTTATAATCTAAGATTATAAAAGATAATTAAGGAAGTGAGCGGAATAAAAGTATAATTATACTTAGGCTCTTTTTTCGGAGATTAGCTTTTTTATATAATATTGATCGTAATAGAGGAGTATTGTACATGTAACTTTTTAAAGACATTACATAAATTCATTTAATGTACTTATTTGTGTATAATAAAAAAGTAGCAAGTTATTTTAAATTTTTTTTAAATGAAGATTTTGTAATTAGGTCTTTATTCCGCCCATCTCTTCAATTGAAAATATAAATCGTCGGCTATTTTTTAAGTATTTATTATTCCTTTATCGTTCTTTGAAAAATATTCAGTATAAATTTTTATGCTTTATTTTGCGTAAGAATAGTCTCATTGTCAGTATGAGGAAAAAAAAATCATGACTTTTTTTTCGCGTCTATTTTAAGACATTCCTATATTAAAATTGCAAATAGGAGACTCGTACTTGTTTGTCATACTTTTTTCTAATACTTTTCTCAACTAATATTTCTTTCAACTATTAATGATTAGTTTTACTATTCATAAATCTTTCAAATAATTTATTTTAATATATTCTCTTTATCCTATTTTATTCTTTGTAAAAAAATTTAAGGTGATATAACAAACCGATTTAAAATTATAATTTCTATTTTCATATAATTGTTATCATTATAGAGTAAATAATTAGCCTCTTAACTTTTTTTTAAATATGTATATATATATATATATATATATATATATAATATTAAGTAATATGAATAAATAATAATGAAGTGATAATCAAAGATTTAATTAAATTAAAACACTTACTGAACTTAAATTTAAACTGATACATTGAGGGCTTTTATAGAAATTTTCTGATGTCTTGCTGCTATTATTTGTTATTAGATATACTTGTTTTCCCAGCTTTTGTAATATCTTTAAAGACTCCGAAGCACCTTCAACTGGTTTATCGACTTGCCATAGGACTCCTGGAGAACATTATTACATTTTGAAAAATTTTTTATTTATTATTTATATAATTTAATTTATTTAATCCGAGAAAATATAGTCACAGATACAGACATGTACATAACAATAATAAAAACCAAGAATTACTGAAGAAGTTACTTTGTAAAACTATTATATTATAATATATACATTGACAAGAACAAAGAACTATTAATTTCGAAACAATATAAAGAATATAGGGTATATAAGGTTGCCGATATCGCACCGGCTCC